GTAATCAAGGGGACTTCGACCAGAAGGAGGAGAGGCTCATGGTCCTAAACAAAACATTCCATTTCCTTTCTAACTGATTCCTATGCCTTAGTTAGTTGTGCCCTGTGGTAGCTTTTCTAACAGGATGCAGTCTCCTTGCAGGCAGGCAGAGGCCCTGGTTTATCTTTGTCATCGCTTAACAAATGCTGTGTTTTTGAATTATTGAATTCTCTCTACTCCCATCCTGTAGCATCTCCCAGTTGCCCCTATACTGGGCTTGAGTCTGAGCCCAGGGCACAGCAAAGTTCTCTGCATCCCATCTGCCCTGAGGATGGGAACTGTGACTTCTATTCAGCAAGCTCAATGAACCAGTGGATAAAGTCCTGGTTCTGAGTTCAAATCCTTCCTCAGACACTTACTAGCTGTGTAACTCTGGGCAAATAATTTCTTTCAGTCTCGTTTGCATATCTACTGTCAGGAGTATAATTTATTTCACTTTCTTCATCTGTATATATAATTGCAGGATTGTAATTTCACACGGTTGTGATATACATCTATATACATCTATACATCTATACATATATGAGTGTGTATATATATATACACACACATATGTGTGTGTGTGTTTAAATTTTAAAAACTAGCTTACAAAAAGATTGAGTGCTGGACCAATGAGCTAAAAGGCCAAGCTTCCAATTCAAGAAACATGTATATTAAGCACCTACTATGTGCCAGGTGGAGGCATTGAGGTGGCTTGGAGTCAGTTCAAATTTGGCCTCAGATGCTTACTAGCTGTATGACCCTGGGCAAGTCACTTAAACTCTGCATTAATCCCGTGGAGAAGGAAATGGCAAATCATTCCAGTTATCTTTGCCAAGAAGACCCCAAGAGGTCACAGACGCAACTAAACAACCACAGTATGCTGGGCGTTGTGCAAAGGCTGTGTCACATCCTTGGCTCCATTCATGACCTCTCTGTGCTTTCTCAATAAAGCGAGGGCCACAATCCTTGATCTGCAACACTAGGGCGGAGCTAAACTCACTGTGCACATGTCAAATAGCAGGATCATTAGGACGGCAGTATTGCTGCTTCTTTACATCTGCCCCCATCCCCCTCTAGTGCCCAACCTGTTATAGCAGCTACTCCCTGGATCACTGCTCCCTGAATGAAGCAAGGGGGCAGGACGGAGAGAGCGGCCTCATTTTCATCTTGACTCTGCCACTTACTGGCTGTGACACTGGGCCATCTCCACTTCTTGAACCTTGATTTACCTCATCTGAAAAGTGTTACTAGATGGCTTCTAAGGCCCCTTCTACCCTCCCATTGTATGAGCTGAATCTCCAGACTTTTGCCCAAGGGTCTACCATCTGAAGAGTTGAATATTGGAGTATGAGCAAAAGTGCTGACATCGTAAAATTTTGTTTTTATATCCTCCATCCCCCCACCTCTGACATTCTTTGCTTCAAGGCCTCTTCCAGCTCTATGGACCCTCCCAGCTGTGACAGCCTGTGTTCTAAGGTCCCTCCCATCTCTGAAATTCTCTGTCTTAAGATCCCTCCCAGTTCTGACATTCTCTGTCCTAGGGCTCCACCCAGCTCTGACATTCCATATTCTATGGGCCTTCCAAATTCTGACATTACATGTTTCCAGTTCTGACGTTCTATGTTCTAAGGTATCTTCCAGCTCTAATATCCCATATTCTGAGGGCTCCTCCAATTCTGACATTCTATCTTCTTAAGGGCCCTCATAGGTCTACTATTCCATGACTGACTGGATATAGTGCAGCTTTCTGGTCTCCCTTGATTCCCTAGCAATGTGAATGGGCCCAGGACAGCTCTGTGATGTTCTGTGAGGCTTGGCTTGCCATGGGGGTAAAGGGTCCCTGGAGGTGAAGGCCCTTTCACAGTACAAATCTTGCTAGGGAGACTGAAGGCCCCAGAGGCAAAAGGAGACTGGCTGGGGCTGCTTTCCTCTTCCTTCTGGTCACCTCTCTCCTAGTGAGTTTTTCTAGCACCTGTTCCAAGGACATCAATGCCTTCCTGAAATGGGTTTAAGAGTCTTCCTTATACCTGATGCCCACTGAGCAAAGATGGTATCAGCTTTCATGTCTACAGTTGTCCAAGTCTTGCAAAAAGCTTTCCTCACAACAAAGTTATTCTAAGGATGGTGAGGTAAATTGTGTGCAAGGATCATTATCCCGGTTTTACAGTGGAGGTAATGGAGACCAAATTGTCCTGCCCCAAGTCAGGAAGTAAGTAAGGGTTGGAGCTAGGGTCTGATCCCACCTCTCCTGACTCCAAGTTCACTGTCATCACAACCTGGTTCCGTGCTCCCTTCCAGCTGCCTGTCCTGGATTGGAAGGGGCTATTTTGTCCTTGGGAACTTCCTTCCTTTCAGACAGGACTCTGACTATGCTGAGGTCTCTTGGGGAGGTCCCTATAGTAGCTAAAACAGGTTAGGAACCTACCCTCAACAGGGAATTGGCAGACATGGCTTAATTTCCCAACATGCTTGTGTGACCTTGGGTGGATGACTGCCCCTCTCTTGTGGGGGATAGCTCCAGCCAATAGAACATCTGTAGGATAGGAGAACAGGGTCACAGGAACTCTGGGATGCTAACGATCATCCTTCACACTCCTTGGCCTCCTCCTAGCAAGCCATCTGGGTAGTGACAAGCCTCTTAGAGCCCTGGGATTCCCCCTGCTCTTCCAAGCTGCTATAGACCCTCCCCTCCCCTCCCTCTTGAGAACAGAGGAGCAGGTGTGCTTCCTTGCACCAGGGCCTCAGCCTTTTCCAAGTGACATTGAGAACAGAAAGGAAGGGAGGGAGGCAGGAAGGAGGGAGGATGTGCTCAAAGGACCAATGACGGCTGATGTTCCCTGGGCAGAGGTTACCACGGTTCACCGAACAGGAGCAGGTGCTGGGTGGGGGTGGGTGGTGGGTAAGGTAGGAGGATTCAGGGCTATCCTCACTTCAGGGAGCTCAAAGCCTCTGGGCTCCCGGGAGATGGGGGGAGGGGAATGGAAGGACAGATCGGGAAATGCCTGCCTAATCCCCCAGCGAGGGAATCCTCACCTTACCTGAAGGCCACACCAAGGAGCACCAGCTGGGGAAAGAAGACTTACCAGCTTGACTACTCCTCCCATTCCCCCTCCCTCCGGAGCTATGGGGGGGGGAGTGGGGGGAAAGGCCCAGTCTTGGCTTGGAAGGGGCTAGGAGGCCGTGGAGCATGAAAGGACATAGAGGTTCCTAGGGAGCAAATGAAGGCGCCCTCTCCCCCAAGGCTAGAGTCGAGCGGACTTGGCTGGGGATGGGGGAGGGAGACGACAATTTCGTTCGTTAATCATTAACTACCCCCTTTTCGCTTTTGGTACTCCAGTCACAGCAGCTCTGCCCTGGGAGTTGGGGTGTGGAGTCAGTTTCCCTCACCAGCCAGCTGCTCCCGGGGAGGGGCCCTAGGCATTGGGAAGAAAGAGGTGTGCGTTCCAGAAGCCTTGCCCTTGTCCAATCCCGACTCCCCTACCCGCAGCTGAACGCAATGACGTGCTACACTCCCCTCTCCCTTGCACCTCTTCAGCCCCCAAACGTGAAAGCCTGCTCCCCTGCACCTAGGTGCGAGTGCCCTTTCTTCCTCCAGCTTCTACCCCTGAACTCGGCTTCTCCTGGGGCCAAGGTGGAGTGAAGGGGGTGAGGTACTGCTGGAGAGGCATCGCCGCCCCTCAACCCCGTCATTTCCCAAAGCTTGTATTACAAGAATGCACCCCCGCTTCTGTCCTGATAACGACACTCCCGTAAAGATTTCACGCTTCCCCAAACCAGACTGCCTCCCCATCCCAGTTCCATTCTCTCAGCATTTTACTGAAATCATTTACCCTCTCTGCCCCCAGCCCGTGTCCCGGGGAGAGGTGGGGCACTCCTGGGGAGGTCTCCCTCCTCCCCCAAACCATCAAATCAGAGCCCTTTCCCATGCCTGTGTCCCTGAACGCCCCCACCGTGTCCGCTGAGGACAGGGAGAGATGCTTTTGTATAAAGTCCCCCTCTTCACCGTAGAGCCCTTCACCCTAAATTGCAATAACTGTTTCTCCCAAGCCTGGGTCTCCCAAGCGCTCGGCTCTCCCTCCCGGGGCCGGGGTGGTGGTGGTGGGGGATGGGTGCAGCTGGCGGGCGGTGACCTCGAAGTACACTCTGAGGCCAGCTCCAGCCCAGGGGGAAATAATACTAATAATCTTCCTCCAAAGGAGAGGCACCCTGGTCACGGCGCCTAAGCACCCGGGGAGATCGCTTAGCGCGGCCCCGCGGCCTGGCCCGGCCTGGGAGGAGGCACCGAGCCGCTGAGTCCTGGCTCCCTCCCGGGCCGGAGGTAAACACTGCGCGGCTGGCCCCGGGAGGGGAAGGGGGGGTAGGGGAGGGGCAGGGGGAGAGCCCAGGACTCGGCCGCCCGCGGAGCTGGGGGCGGGGAGGGAGCGCACAGTGGAGAGATCCCCGCCAGGACAGAGTGTGCCTGGGGAGGGGAGAAGGGGCAGGCCGGGGAGCGGGGATCGTCGCCGGCAGGAAGCCATCCCTCGCAGTTCGAGCGCGGCCAGGCTCGGCCAGCCCTCGGTGACGTTACTCATCTTCCAGGGATCTCTCCTCTCCTCTCTTCCCCTCCCCTCCCTCTTACCCTCTTTCCTACTCCCTCTCCACCCCTCCTCCCTGTCCCCTCCCCCTCTCTCCCTCGAATCCCTGTCTCTGCACATCTCTCTCCATCAGCTTCCTCCGGACCTTCGCCGCCACCACCAGCAGCAGCAGGAGCAGCAGCACTTCGGCGGCCGAGGCAGCAGGAGAGGGGCCGCCAGCGGCTCCCCCCCCCGGGGCTCCCATCCCCCCTCCTTCTCCACCTCCTCCCTGCCCTGCCCTGCCCTTCCCAGCTCGCCTTGAAGGGGATCCCCCTTCTTTCTCTCTGCTCAGTCCCCCCCTGCTGCGCCCCAGGATCCCGGCCCCCCTCCCCCTGCCTAACCCCCTCCTGAGCTCGAGGAGCCGCTCGGCGGAGACAAGGATGTGACTGCACCCGGCGGGCGGAGGGTGCACTCGGCGGCGGCGGCGGTCGGAGCGAAGCTGCGGGCGCCCGGGGCTCCCTCTCTCCTCGCTCGCCCTCTCTTCTCCCGCTTCCCCTGTCCCCAGTCCGCGGCCCCCGGCGGTCCGGCTGCCCCGACCCCGCGCCCCAGACCTCGCCGCCTCGGGGCACCCTTCCCCTGCCCCGGACCGCCACTCTCCGGCCGCCCCCGTGCTCCAGCGCTGACCCTGTCCGCCGGCGGGGAAGGAGGAGGAGGAGGAGGCGGCGCCGCCGAACCACCGGGCGAGAACATGTCGGAAGTGCTGCCGTTTAACGAGGAAAAGCTGGGGCACTATGGAGATGGGGGGGACGTGGGCCAGATCTTCACGTGCCGCCTGCAGGATACCAACAACTTCTTCGGGGCGGCTCAGAACAAGAGACCGCCCAAACTGGGCCAGATCGGCAGGAGCAAGAGAGGTAAGTGAGCCCCGGGAGCGCCCAGTCCCTCACCCCCTCCGTGAGCCATTCCCCCCTCGCGTGCTGCAGGCGGACAAGAGCAGGGGGCGACTCTCACATCTCCCCTATCCCGCAGTGGGCAGCCCACTTTGTTTGAACCCCATCCCTAGCGCTCCCCGTTTCCGCGGTCACTCAGCGGAGCCTCACCCTTCTTCATCCCTGGGCTCTGACCCCAGGGGTAGTGACAGGCTAGGAGTAGGACGAGGGATGTAGCATCACCCCCCATAAGATGGGGTCGGGGGCACCCGTCAGTTAAGGGGAGTGAGACAGTCAACCCTCCCCCCACCCGAGGTGCTCCCGGAAGCCAGGGGAGGAGGGAAAGACGCAGGCTTACGAGGGTCTTGGTCCCACTGGGGGCTCCCCTAGGCTGGGGGATGGGGAAGAGACGCAGACCTCCGAGGGGTACCCACAAGATGCAGGGAGGGGCGCCCTGCAAGGGCCAGAGAAAGAGAGGCTGGTGGGATCTCTGGACCCTCCAGAAAGGGGAGTCTCCCGAGAGGGGGGAGGGCGGGCGCACTGCGGGGTCCGGCAGGGACCAGCAGCGCGAGGGGTGGTGCTCCCTCCTCCTTTCCTTTCCTCCCTCCCCATCCCCCCCACGCCCCAGCCTGTTTGAACCAGCACGGTCTCCGGGCCTCTGCCCCCCTCGATCAGTCCCAGTCTAGGAGCTTCGGCTTTCAGCTGGAGCGGGGCCTTCCCGCGCCCCCCCAGCGAGATCAGCCTGGTCACCATCCCCGCCAAACTTTTTTTTTGTTGTTGTTTTTGCGCAGTGTAGCCTCGAGTCCTTTCTCTCCCTAGACACTAAGGGACTTGGGGCCTCCCCATGGGGTAGTACGGGGAGGGGGTCTGCAAAGGGACAAAGTCCCCTCCACACCACCGCAGTGGCAGTGCAGAGCCAACCTCTGCCTGCTGCTGCCTTTCCTAGGGGTCTTGGGGAAAGGTGGTGGGATGGGGTAGAGGAGACCAGGGAGACCTGAGCCCTCTGCGTGGTGTACCCCCTCTTTCCTGGACATGCACACAAAAAGCAAAAAAAAAAGACAGTCTCCCTCTCTTCCTCATCTCCCTCACCCATGACTGGGATAGCCGAGTTAGGGTGAGGAGTGAGAAAAGAGAGAACCAGAACCTCTCTGAACCTAGCCCAGGTCAACGCAAAGGCCGGGTTGCCATCTTCATCCCTCCCCCTTCCCCCGCCCCCAGCCCCACAGGGACCCTTGGCCGTGTTATCCAGAGCTGACAGAGCAGAGAGGCTGCTGTATGCCTAGCTAACTCTGTGCCTCACCACTCCCCCACCCCACCCTCCAGCGCCAGGAGAGTCCTTTTTCCAAATAAATAAGCCCTAGTGGGGAGGTATGTGGATGTGCAGGGGGGTGGGAGTCAGCCTTCTGGGCCACTGCTACCCTCCCACCAGCCCTTGGGGTTGTCTGTAACCCAAAGCTCCTAGCCTGGGCTCCCCCCCCCCCCCAAGTAGCTCTGACAAGGACAGAGGCTTGTGGACAGAAGAGGAAAGCTAAGGGATAGCTGGAGATGAGGGAGCTCAGTGCCCTAGTGGGTATCTATTGGAAAGGGAGAAGCCCCCTCCCCTCGACCTCCTTCCTTTTCCTCCTTCCCCTCCCATCTCCCGGAGAAAAGGCCTGCTTATACTCTTCACTCTCTTTTCTACCTTACAGTTGTTATTGAAGATGATAGGATTGATGACGTGCTGAAAAATATGACAGACAAGGCACCTCCTGGTGTTTAAAGCCCCCAAAGACACTGAGTTAAGGGAGAAAATGATGATAACAAACACAGCAACTTCACACAGTTTATTGGCAAAAAAAAAAAAGCACTTTGAAAAAAATCTTCATTACTCTAGCCTGCAGTCCACAATGCGGACACACCACCAACCTGTATCTTGTGTCAGGCCTGGGGACAGAAGAGGTGTGAGCATAGCAAGGACAGAAAGGCTCTAGGGTCTTCTGCAGAAATAAAAACAAAAAGCAAAAAAAAAAGATTATTCAATAAATTAGTTGATTTACACACACTCATATGGAAATTGACATCAGCTGCAGCTGTTTGTCTAAATTAATATGCGTTTCCTTTTATATACAGTGAATATTGCGCAATTCTAGACCTGGATTTCCAGCCACTTTAAATAATGCAGCAGCAGCAGCAGCAACCGCCTGCCCAGCAAAATGCCTCTGGGTTCCTGGTGGGAGGGGGGGGGCTGGCATCCCCTTTGCTGATCTGGCTGCCCTGAAAGTCAGCCCTTTGTTTACATTATTCCCATCTGGCAAAAATCATTTCTGTGCACTTAGATGTGAAATGCTGTCCGTTTCATTTTTACAAAAATATTCATATCTTTGGATGTGTGTAAAACAAAACAAAACAAGAAAACAAAAAAAACCCCAGAATGACTTATATATAGATATATAGATAGTTATTCTATTTCGTTTTCCCGCCACCTTGGAAGGTCTTCCTTGGTGGGATGTGTGTGCGCTCCACAGAACAAAACCAACCCACTTTCCCTAAGGAATGCCTCTAGGAAGAGTTTTCTTCTGTTTTCAATGTGCTGTGAAGCTTGTGTTCTCTGGACTGCTTGCAAGCAATCCAGGCTCCAGTTCACACGGACTGAATTTTATATGGGGGGGGAGGAGGAAGGGGAAAAGAAGCCTTCTTCTCTGCGTTGTATGAGCCCCCATCCCGGTTCTTTCCTCCTCCCGGTGTTGTGGCGACTCATCTTCTTCAATGAATGGACTGTACAAAAATGTGATCATGAGAGTGCCAAATATCTGGAAACGCCAAAAGGCAGTTCAGTTTGGTTCCCCTTCTCTGTGCTCCCTGAGCCCACGTGAAGCAGTGCTTTGTCAGAGCCTCTCTTTTCTGGGCTGTTTATCGGGCTTTCTCTTAAGGCAGAACCGCTCTCCTTTTTGCATGATGTTTGCAGAGATGCCTCTTGTGCAGGGGCTGGGGGTGGGGGGTCTTTTCACCATTTTTGTTTTCTTTCTTCTTTTGGGTTTGCAACTTTGGATGACAGACCTCAAAGAGGTTTCTTTCACCTTCCCTTCTGCTACCCCCTCCCCTTTCTCCTTCCCCCCCTCCCTTTTCTTAATTCAATATTGTGTATATGGTGCACTGTTAACCACTACACAGGGCTATTTCTGCAGTGTACAATAAAAGGGACTGTTCCTGTGTCTAATCTCTTTTTGTGTCTTGATTCTTTTGTGGTACCATTGGGTGGAGGGGGGGGAGAGGAAGGGTGGTGTGTGGGGGGGGAGAGAGAGAGAGAGGGAGGGGGGAGAGAGAGAGAGAGAGGAGAGAGAGGGAGGGAGAGAGAGAGAGAGAGGAGAGAGAGAGGGGGAGAGAGAGAGGGAGGGAGGGAGAGAGAGAGAGAGGGAGGGAGAGAGAGAGAGAGAGAGAGGGAGGGAGGGAGGGAGAGGAGAGGAGAGAGGAGAGAGAGAGAGAGAGAGAGAGAGAGAGAGGGGGGAGAGAGAGAGAGAGAGAGGGAGGGAGGAGGAGGAGAGAGAGGAGAGGAGAGAGAGAGAGAGAGGGAGGGAGAGAGAGAGGAGAGAGAGAGAGAGGAGAGAGAGGGAGGGAGAGAGAGAGAGAGAGAGAGAGGGAGGGAGAGACGAGGAGAGAGAGAGGGAGAGAGAGAGAGAGAGAGGGAGAGAGAGAGAGAGAGAGAGGAAGGAGGGAGGAGAGAGAGGAGAGAGAGAGAGAGAGAGAGAGAGAGAGAGGGAGAGAGAGAGAGAGAGAGAGAAGAGAAGGAGAGAGGAGGGAGGAGGGAGGGAGAGAGAGAGGGAGGGGAGGAGAGAGAGAGAGAGGGAGAGAGAGAGAGAGGAAAAACCAGTTAGGTGGTCACTCTTGGGAGATCACAGATGGGGAATGAGGCAGGCTAGCTTTTGCAGGGTTTCTCTTACTGGGGTTGGGAGCACCAGAGAATGCCTGTTCATTGTTGGACTGCTTTGGGGAATCTCCCCCACTCTTTGTAATGTCTGCCATCAATTGTTGGATGAGGCTAGCATTCCCTTTTTTGGGGTAGGGCTAGGGGAATCCATGTGTACTGAGTCTCCCCAGCCCCCACCCTGCTCAGGAGAAAAGGCGGCCTGTTTCTCCTCCAAGGCGTGGCTGCTAAGCCATTGTCTCCTTCCAACACCTACCAAGAGCTGGGTCCCGAGGTGCCAGTCTGGCAGAACAATTTCAGGGGAAGTGTGAGAATTTGCTTAGGAGAAGAAAAATGCCAGTGGCACGTTGAGTCAGTGTGCATCTCTGATCCTCACCCAAGAGCCTGCATTCTGTAAACTGGTCTCCTGGGATGAGCCTGAGAACAGGAATGGCAATTCATGCAAAAGTCTTTCTCCACACAGCCTTGTGAGCTGCATGGCACAAATACTAGTCTCCATTTTCCAGATGCAGGATGATTTCAACCTGACTGGGGGTGCATAGCCAGGGATTGTCTAAGCAGGACTTGGTCCTATTTCCTCTGATTTGTGCCCCATCACTCCTCAAAGTGGTCCTTCAAGGGGATAGGGCTAGAGTATTAGCCTCCGGGTGGGGAAGAGTTGTGAGGTGGGACAAAGGATGCTGGGATTTTTTTTTCCAGAGGGGGAAGGATTTTGGCTGCCACTTACTCCAAGGGGCTTTTTCCCCTGGGTTCCTTCACTAGCTTTGCCAACTGTGAGCTTAACATGTTTGTTGTAAAACTGTCAGGCTGGGGAGTCACAACACACTGCTCACGGTGACAGCAGGAGCGGTGTGACTCAGACATCAGGTAAGACAGGGCCTAGGAGGAGGGGAGGGAAAAGGGGAAACCTGGGGTCTGGTTGGGGTCTGGGCCAGTCACAGAGGGTGGTCTCAAAGATCCTCAAAGGCTGCTCAAACAATTGCACTGGGGACCCAGAGCACTGGGCTCCCGTCAGAAGATCTGAGAATGGGGCTCAGTTTGGCTCTAGCTGTAGTGGTGTGGGCTGAGTGTTTCCTCTCGATTTTGCCATCTGTAAAATAGGGATAATGATACTAGTATTACTAGCAGGACTTTTGTAAGAAAAGGTCTTTGTGAACTGTAAAACACTACGTGTGAGCTGCTATTACTGTTATGGGTGTTAATGATAACTATAATCATATGATTCAATTAATCAACATAGCAATGACAATCAGAAATCCACAGGCAGTACTGGCGGGGTGCTTGGGGAAATCTGTTGTCTTCTCAAATGATATCTTCTTTCTATTTACCATTCGTTCCCAAGCCTCTTTTTTTTTTCCTCTCTCCTTTTTCTTAAGCAGGAATCTACTGGGTGGTGGGGGTGGGTGCAGGTGGGTGGGGTGGGTGGGTTAGGTCCTCATTCAAAGAATCCTTTGTAGGAGAAGGGGGAAGGGAAGGTATTGCTGTCTACTCAACAGCAGGGCCTCTGCTACTTCCCAGCTGGATTTCTCTCCTGGACTTGAATTCTCATTTGTCCAAAGTTCTTGTACACAAAGCTTTGACATCGGTGGACGTGTATATTTAAAAGTCCAGCTTTGCAGTTTACAACCTGTGTGACCTGGGGCCCCTTGGACGCTCTGTTTCTTCGTCCATGCAATGAGAGGTCTGGAAGGGACCTTTCAGCTCTGACATTATATCATCTATGGTTTCTGCAGCTCTCCTATGCTACATGGCTTCTAGCTCTAAGGTTATATGCTCAAATGTCGCTTACATCTCCAAATCCTAAGATTTTGTTCTATTTTTCTGGAGGCATTTTCTCGTTTGTTTGTTTATTTGGCAGCTTCTTGTTATTGGAATCCTTCTTGTCATATCACAGACCCAAAGTTGGAATGGACCTTAGAGATCATCTAATCCAATGACCTCATTTTCACTGATGAGGAAAGCCAGGTCTGGGAAGATTCTGGCCCAAGATCACACAGGTACTAAATACAGTGCCTGGCATGTGGTAAGAATGTAATAAATAGTTGTAGAACTGAATCCTTAGGGTCAGGATTTGAACCCAGGTCCTCGATTCCAAAGCCAGTCATGGGTCACGTCTGACTTAAGGGCCAGAAGAGTGGTGGACCCTGGTTGCTGTCCTGGCACTTGGGGTCCATCTTAATGAATTCCGTATCCAACTCCTATTTACGACTGCATGGGTCCCCTACTGTAGTTGGGGAAATGTGCTCAGCTCTCTTGGCATCGGCAATTTTCCAGGCTTCCATTTAGCATCAAAGAAGATGAGACTTTACATGCAACTTAGGATCAAGTAAACATCTGTGCACTTCAGCAAGGGGCCAGAGGATTGGCTGATATTAAATCTTGTCAAGTGCAGGGCACCTTTGAAAGATTTGTTTAAGTATAATAAATATGGAAAGGGCTAGTGAAATGGAAGGGGGTGTGGGAGGGGGAGGGGATGTGGTCCAGAGAGGGGGTTGGGAGAAGTGGAGCTGCACTCCTGGTTTATTGATCGGTGAATCAAGGGCCGCATTATTCAAACTTAGCTAATTGAAAGCCTGAAATAAATGTAAACCTTTATGGATTCCGCTTCCTGTGGCCTGGCCAGGCTGACAGTCTGTGGGAATAAAAAATGCCTCCAGGGGGAATTGGCAAATTAAGTTTTAAAATGTGAGAGACTTGTAAATTACTGGCAACCTGGAGACCACAGATGAAAGAGAAAAAAGGAAGGGCTGGGAGGTGGAGGTGGGGGTGGAGGGGGGATGGGGAGAGGAACGGGTTGGGGGGAGCTCTCCTCATATCTCCCAGCACTTTGGCTAGCTCTCAGCAGAATTTGGGGCAGGAGAATCACCATCTTTTTCCTAAAGCATTTTAAGCCCTATCACTTGCTGGTTGAAGGTCTATAGAAGTAGGAAAAGCCCAGCCAGGGTTGAGAGGTAGGAGACATAGATTCAGGTCTTGACTCGGAAAGAAATTAGCTGCATGGGTCAGTCATTTCTTCACTGACCCCTTTATTTTAGCTGATTCCTAAAGGCCCTTCTATGTTTAATATTCTATGAGCTAATGTTCTGTGTTCCAAGGCTCTGCCCAGCTCTCATATTTTATGTCCCCCTCTAGCTTTGACATTCTATTTTCCAAAGTTTTCTTTCACATACGAACTCTGATATTCTTTTTTCAAAGGCTCCTCCTAGCTCCAACATTCTATATTCTAGGGTAATGCCCCTGACTCTGCTATTCTATGTTCTTAGGGACCTCCCATTTCCACCATTCTGGGTTCTAGGCTTGTTTCTACCTCTAACATTGTAAGTTCTAAGACCCCTTCCAGCTCTGACATTCTGTATTCTAAGGTAACCCCCTCCAACTTTACTATTTTGTATTCTATAGGCCTTCCCAGCTCTCTCATTCTGTGTTCTAAGGGCTTTCCCATTTCCAAAATTCTGGATGCTAGGCTTGTTTTATGTTTTAAAGACCCCAGTTTGGACATTCTGTGTTCTCAGGGCATTCCCAGCTCTGACATTCTGTGTTCTGAAGCCCTAACCAGCTCTGACATTCTCTGTTCTAAGGTCCCTTCCTCTGA